TATGACACTAGGATGTAATATCGTAATGCACCTTAAAATCTGGAAGGAGACAAGTATGGTTTTAAACACTGTTTTCCCAAATTGGGACAATTAAAAAAATAAATTTCCTGATGATATTCCATAGAAATAATTATTTCTGTTATATCATAAGTAGTCTTAGTTTAATTTTTACATAGTTTGTTATACCACAGAGATTAATAATTGGTTTGCAACTTGAGAAACCCATTCCTCAGGAGCTTAAATTACAGTATAAGTCTCTAACTGTACTCGTCTTAACGTCTTCACCGCCAGGGAGGAGATGTCTGCCTTCAGGTTTGTTAGCTAGAACCAGGCTCTGGTTACTGGAAAATGGAAAGAGACTTATTTTCCCAGTAAACAATTATTTTAAGGATATAGTTAATTCATCTTCCTTCTAATTAGAGACTGTTTTAGTAGAGCCCATAATTCTTTGCACTTACTCGTTTCAAATGCTGTTGTTTTTTAGTATTCAGACAGAATTAACGGTGAATTAGGATAATTTCCTCTGTAACGTCAAACGTTGTTGATGTGTATGAATGAAAACAGAATAAACAAACGATAGACCTTTTCCCACCACCCCCTTTCCCTCTCTCTTTCTCTCTCTTTCATCTTTTCCCACCTTATTTCACAACAACTTTTGTCATAGAATCTGAAATTTATCAACATGGAGGAGCTCCCTAGTTGTCACCCTAATTGTGAGGGTTGAATCGATGTGCCTGGGAGTTGGTCATGGAGAGATGGAGGGTCAGGTCATGTGAACTATCTCTGCTCAGTAGATGCGGTGAACAGGTTGAGATTTTTGTTGGGTTTATCATAAACTAGTTTCTTATTATCAACCTAGAACATTAGGAAGACAATTTTTCAAGTAGATTTTCCCGTTTTAACTCTGAATTGGGCAATTTCAGGGTTTTGCGGATTTTTTGTCAAGTGGAGAAAACTATGACTTCAGGTAGGTGATTTGTTTTTCCTTCTCTACAATTGACTCAAGATGTAAAGAAAATACAAGGTTTTGTTTCCAGTGCAGAATCTCTTCACTTAATTCTCACTACAAGTCATAAATATGCTTTGCCTGCTGTCCTGGAGGGAGGTTACAGAGTAAAATTCTTCAAATTTCATATGCCTTTTCTTTAATGTCAGGTCTGGATGGTAGATTCCATTACAGGATACGAATATAACTGCTTGCTACAACCAAGTTCTTGGGAGAACTTGGGAAAGTTTTCACTTATCTCTTTTTTAATGTGGGTAAAAGCTTCACCTTTCAGTTATCGCCAATGACAGTGATAACATGTGATATCGCTATCATATATATTCATACCTCTACCCATACCAATATTGTATTATATAAATTTAAAGAAATTAACCATCACCTAAACATAAATTCTAAGAACATGATAGCTTTCTACCGAGGATAAGATGCACCATAGTTTAAGAATTGCTCTATTTTTGACAATTAAATTTTCCCATTGTTAATATTATAAACACTGTGGCAATTTAGCTGTGGATGTCGTTTTCACAATTTTCTCAATGCAATTAAATATATCTTATGACAGCTTATTAAGAACAAAGTCTCTCATAAAAATAGCAGATAGCTTTTTATTGTAGTACTGGTTAAGATTTAATGTGCATGGTCTACTTACTTTCCAGAAAAATTTATGGAAGAGTTTCAACTTCTTGAGTTTTTCCTAGCACAGATCATTACTATCATAATTGATTAACCCACTTTGTTAATCTGATATGTAAAATGATCTTTCTCAGTGCATATTTTAATCCTCTTTATTCATAATTCAAAATTTAAAAGGTTTTCATAAACCACAAATCTCAAAAATTTATCACATTTCTCAAAAATGGAATTTTATAAACACTGTGGCAATGTAGCTATGGATATTGTTTTTCACAATTTAATCAATGCAATTAAATAGATCTTATGACAGCTTATTAAGAATAAAATCTTCAACAAAAATAGATAGCTTTTTATTTTTGTCAGGGTTAAGACTTAATGTGTGTGACCTAATTACTTTCCCGAAAAATTTATGGAAGAGTACCATCTTCTTGAGTTTTTCCTAGCACAGATCATTATTATCATAATTGATTAACCCACTTTGTTAATTTGATAGGTAAAATGACCATTTTCTGTGTATATTTTAATCCTCTTTTTCATAATTCCAAATTTAAAGTGTTTTTATAAACTACAAATCTCAACAATGTCATATTTCTCAAAAATGGAATTGTGGACAACTTTGTTTCAAATTTATGTTCCTGAGATTCAACTAAAAAAAAAAAAAAAGCCTATATTTTATAGAATCAATAAGAACTATTATATAGTTTTCTGATCGGTAGGTTCATTACTTTTATGGCATTTAAGGAATTCTAGAGTGGTTTTAATCACTGTGGCTTTCAGGAATTTAGGAAGTTTTGTGATATCATAAAAATGGGAGAATTTATAGGAAATATTCATTTTATTTCATTTTAGCAATCTGAGTTGTGATCTACATGTATGACACTAGGATGTAATATCGTAATGCACCTTAAAATCTGGAAGGAGACAAGTATGATTTTAAACACTGTTTTCCCAAATTGGGACAATTAAAAAAATAAATTTCCTGATGATATTCCATAGAAATAATTATTTCTGTTATATCATAAGTAGTCTTAGTTTAATTTTTACATAGTTTGTTATACCACAGAGATTAATAATTGGTTTGCAACTTGAGGGACCCATTCCTCAGGAGCTTAAATTACAGTATAAGTCTCTAACTGTACTCGTCTTAACGTCTTCACCGCCAGGGAGGAGATGTCTGCCTTCAGGTTTGTTAGCTAGAACCAGGCTCTGGTTACTGGAAAATGGAAAGAGACTTATTTTCCCAGTAAACAATTATTTTAAGGATATAGTTAATTCATCTTCCTTCTAATTAGAGACTGTTTTAGTAGAGCCCATAATTCTTTGCACTTACTCGTTTCAAATGCTGTTGTTTTTTAGTATTCAGACAGAATTAACGGTGAATTAGGATAATTTCCTCTGTAACGTCAAACGTTGTTGATGTGTATGAATGAAAACAGAATAAACAAA